CAGGCGCGCGAGGTCATTGACTTTGATGAGATTTTTGATTGTTCGGATCGCCTCTTTGCGAGGCTTGATGCGAGCGAACACGACGGAGACAAGCCACGTTGCATCACGGATTTGCGCAGTAGGCGTTCGCACGTGTTCTTCGGAGGCAACATATTCCACAGGTTATTGCGATCGGACGGTCTGACAAGCCCGGAGCAGGGTTCAGGAAGGGCTCCTGGGGATGAGGCTGTTCGTCGTGAGGGGCCTCGTGATTGTGCAATTGTGTGGTATACCGATAGCTTGCCCCCTCGATGGGACGATCCTGCATGCTGTGCTAAAGTGGTTTGGAATTTCGGGCTGATTCTCGGTGCCCAGGACGTCGCTGCATTATCTTGCTGGTAAGTATGTAGACTTTCTCATGCTAGCGTCAAAGGCTTGCCTAAGTCATTGTCTTCAGCGCATGGTGTGGCATGTGCGCGGATCCACGGTCAGATTCGATTCCGCCGATCCAATTATGATCGGGCCATCTGCGGTTGCGGTTCCCTGCGTGGAGGTGCCATTTTTGTCCACTCCTGCCGCAGCCAGTGCATCTGTTGTAATCCACAAGAAGGAGGCGTTTGTTTTCTCATGACGCGCCACAGACATGGTAGAGCAGTTCCTGGTCCCGTGCCTGGGTGCATCTCCACCCTGCCTTCGCAAGCAACAACAGGCTTAAATTCGTGGACGTCCGAGTCGATGCCATAACATTCGCCTCTGTGATCTTGGCGGGTTTGTGCTAGTATGTAGTGATGTATGCTATTTCTACTTCGACCGGGATAGAATTGGAAGCGCATGCGTGGCATGTGCCATCGCATCTTTTCGCCATCCAAACACGTGGGGCTCTGCCGGGCAGCAGTGCCGGGTCAGAAGATCCCCAATGCGCGCCTCCCAGGGCGCGGAAGGACAATTATCGGCGGCACCCCAACATACTTGTACTATGCGCGCGTTTCTCCCCCAGGGGCGACGCGGGCGCCGAGATCTTATGGCGCGCGTTGTGGCGGGCGCTTTTTTGGCCACGCCGCTCAGGAAACGATGTGCTATGATATGTGCGCGCTACATGTTCGGGTCGGGCGCGCGCGCCCAAGGAGGACGTATTGTAGCTTAGTATCAGCGCGTCTCTGCGCGCCCCGAATGACAGCAACGGCGGCGGCGGGGGGGTTCAGGGATTCCCCGCCAGATCACCTCGGTCATGTACAGCGTCGCAGCGCTGGGGGGGCCAGTGGCAGCCCGACGGCCCCGCCAGGGGCGTGGCGCCCGCCATTGTCTCCGGCGCCACTTCGGAGCCCGCGCGGGAGCTCGCCCGCGCCCTCGCGGAGGTGCTCCAGGCCAGTGCGCCAGGGCACTCACGTTTGCAGCAGGCGGTGAATAGTCTCCACGGCCTTGTCGGGGCGGCCGCGCCCTCGACGGGGGCGGCGGCGACGTCCAGCAACTTCGAGCAAAACCGAGTGATCCAGCAGGCCCAGACCAACGCGGCCACCCTGCAGGCCGCAGTCGCGGACCATGGGGGCCAGATCGGGGCGATCTACGCGGCGATTGCTGACGCGGCTGAGGACTCGCGGAGCGCGCGCAAGATAATGGGGCGCATGATGGGCGTTCAGAATAGGACATCATCTACGTTGCCGCTTCAGCCTCAAACGCCAGTCAGGTCGCCTGGCATCCCATGCGCCGCTGGCGCACTTGCCAGCTGGCCCTTCTCCCAAGGGGCCCGCAGGTGGCAGCGGCAGCAGCGAGCCCGCCCATGCCCCTCCAGATAACAGTGGCCGCCCACGAGCACGCCTTCAAGATCCTCTTTGTTGGCGCCCAGGGGCAGATGATGGCGCAGCTCTCACAGGGAATCGTCAGCGCTGCAGGCGCCGTCATTCCTAGCGGTAAATGGCGGACTCAGGTTGCGAAATGTAAGGGATTGAGCCAGTGGGTAGCAAAACGCAACATATTGGGCATGCCCCAGGGCAACCTCGTGGCTGTGTCCAGCTACACCAAGGTCGGGCAGCTGCAATTTTCAAATGCCCTGCATGACGGGGTCTGGAGCGACGCTGAGTAACGAGTAATGGCTGTCCAATGTTCATCCACGCATGTGGACAGACGCTCGGTGCTTAACGCTTGCGGAGTTATTTTGCCATTGCTCCGCTTGTTCTCTCTCCTTGTCCCAATGGTATCCGGTGGGTGGGCGGCTTATCAGACTTGCGTCTTCATCGGATTTTCGCGGCCCCGTCGGAAAGCGGACTCGCGTTCGCCATCCAACGCATTGCTTGCATCATCCCCCTCCTTCGCCTGCGAGTCTTTTTGCGCCCCCGTGGCCGCGGCGCGCCGCGCGGGCGTCGATGCTTGCGTCGCTCCCGAGGGGGCGCCCCGCGCAGCGCTGAGGGCGAGCAGCGCGTCCTATCATGGATGGCTTTGGTGGCGTTGAATAGTGGGCGTGGTTCGCTGCCGTCGCTCCGCCGCTCCTCGCGGGGATCTGCGCGCGCGCGGCAGTAGTTGCCGCGCGGAAGGGGCGTCGCGCAGCGAGCTGACGCATGAGAGCGCCTGCCTGATCTTTCCAGCTGGTTTGCTGTTTGCCACCCCCCCCCTGACTGCCTGGTCGGGCCGCGCGAGCGCGGGCGTTCAACTCGGCTAAGATTGGGTTTGCGCGCGGGTTTCCGTCGGAGTTCCGGGCGATGTCCTCGAGCGTTTTCACGCGCATAGAAGTGATTGCACGATCGCATCGGTCTTTTGAGCTTTTCAAAGAAACATCGCGCGTAACGTTTGTCCATTCGGATCTTTGGGCGGGGATCGAACGCATGGCGAGCCGCGCGAGGGCTCCAACCGCTCAGTTTCAGTGCGTGTAGTTCGATCCGTATACGTGTTTCATTGATCCGTGCCATTTTTTTGTTTTTTCAATGTAGTATTGTTGTTTTGCCGCGCAGCTCCCCATGCGCGCGGGGCCCACTTTGCATTGGCCCCATGGGCCCGATATTTAGAAGCCAGCTCAAAGCCCAGAGGAGGGCTGCGCACGCGCGTAGGGCTCATGCCCTGCAGGAATTGTTGATGAATTGCGGATTGGAAGTTGTTCTCTCTTGCTCAGACACGCCTGCGCGCCCGCGGCGACGCGGGCGCCGCGCGCCCGGCAGCCTGACCTGGAGCCGAACAGGAGACACATATCGACGAACAACATATTCTTCACAAGTGGGTGTAGGTGTGGATGTGGGTGTGGGCGCGGGCGTTGGCGTGGGCGCGGGCGCGAGCGCGGGCGCGGGCGCGAGCGCGGGCGCTAGCGTGGGTGTGAGTGCGCGTGAGAGAGAGAGAGAGAGACAGAGAGAGAGGGAGAGAGAGAGAGACAGGGAGATGGAGAGAGAGAGAGAGAGAGAGTAGGTGTGTGTATGTTGGAACGTTGGTTGGTGTGCGAGCGTGCGTGCCTGACGTGTTGCTTGCGTGCGTCGTGGTGCTGTGGGTGTGGGTAAGGGTGTGGTGTAGGTCTGTGCTTGGGCGTGGATGTGTGTGTGTGGGTGTGATTGTGGCTGCGGTTGTGTGCGCGTGTGTTTGGGTTTAAGTGTGGGTGTGCGTGTGGACAGGGGTGTGGGTGTGAGTGTGGACGCGCGCGCGCGCGTGTGTGTGTGTGGACGTGCGTGTGAGTGTGTATGTGTGTGTGTGTATGTTTGAGTGTATGTGTGTGTATGTGTGTGTGTGGTGCGGGCCTGGGCGTAGGCGTGGGCGTGAGTGCGGGTGTGGACGTGGGAGTGATCGTGGACGCGGACGTGGCCGTAGGCGTTGGCGTGGGCGCGGGCGTGGGTGTGGACAGGGGTGTGGGTGTGGGTGTTGGCGTCCGCGTGCGCGTGCGCGTGCGCGTGGCGTGGGCGTGGGTGTGGGTGTGGGTGTGGGCGTGGTCGTGCGCGTGGGCGTGAGCGCGGGCGCGGGCGTGGGCGTGTGTGCGGGTGTGGGCGTGGGCGCAGGCGCGGGCGAGGGCGTGGGCGTGGGCGCGGGCGTGGGCGTGTGCGTGGGCGTGTGCGTGGGCGTGGGCGTGGGCGTGGGTGTGGGCGCGTGCTTGTGCGTGGGCGTGGGCGTTGGCGAGCGTTGCCGTGCGTGAGAGCTTGGGCCTGGGCGTTGGCGTTGGCGTGGGCGTGGGCGTGGGCGTGGGCGTGGGTGTTGGCGAGGTCGTTGGCGTGGGCGTGGGCGTGGGCGCGGGCGCGGGCGCGGGCGCGGGTCAGGGTCTCACTGTGGGTGTAGGTGTAGGTGTGAGTGTGGGTTTGGGTTTGGGTGTGGGTGTGGGTGTGGGCATGGTCGTGGGCGTGGGCGTGCTCATGGGCGTGGGTATGGGTGTGGGTGCTTGGGTGCTCGGGTGTACGTGGATGTGGGCGTGGGCGCTGGCGCCAGCGCGCGGGGGGGGATGTGGGGGGGAGGGGGAGGGGGAGTCACCCTGGTTCTGTTCGGCGGCGCTGAAATTTTCGGGGGGGTGCCGGGGTGACCCCGTCCTTCCCCCGACTCAGACGCGCCGCCGAATGCGCCCGACGCAAGCGCCCGCGGAAGGCGCTCCATCTGATAATGATGACAATGCTGATAACAATGGTGGTGATGATTGGTCTTTCTTGCAATGCCGATGATCAAGGGTGATGAGGATAATGAATGATAGCAATAACATTGATGCTGTTGCTGCTGAGGAGGACGAGGAGGAGCAGGAGCAGGAGGAGGAGGAGGAGGAACCAGAGGAGGAGGATGAGGAGGAGGAGCAGGAGGAGGAGCAAGAGGAGGAGCAGGAGGAGGAGGAGGAGGAGGAGGAGCAGGAGGAAGAAGAGGAGGAGGAGGAGCAAGCAGCAGGGGGAGCAGGAAACCGACGACGACGACAACGCCGACGACGACGGTTGCGGCGAGGGCCGCGCCGAAACCGAAGGCGACGACGCCGACGGCGCCGAGGGCGACGACGGCCGCGGTGCCGATGCCGAGGGCGACGACACTGATGGCGACGACAGCGACGATGGCGTCCATGCTGGTGGCGGTGGCACCGCGCCGAGGCCGCCCCCGGCGGCGGTGGCCTTCCCGCTGGCCGAGGGGGGGCGCGCGCCCGAGGAGGAGTGGCGGCCGCCTGCCCCATCCCAACGCCCGCCGCGGGCCCCCGCGGGGGCGTCCGCGGCGGGCTAGCCGCCCTTCGGTTGGGGGGGGGGCGGGGATGAAGATGGTGAGGGCGAGGACGAGGATGATGAGGACGGTGCTGTCCACGATGACGATGCTGCTGCTGCTGCTGCTGCTGACGACGACGATGATGATGATGATGATGATGATGAAGATGATGATGATGATGATGATGATGATGATGATGATGATGATGATGATGATGGTGATGGTGATGGTGATGCTGAGCATGATGGTGATGATGATGGTGGTGCTGATGATGAAGATGAAGATGCTAATGATAATGATGATGATGATGCTGATGATGATGATGAGGATGATGATGATGATGATGATGCTGATGCTGATGCTGATGCTGATGCTGATGCTGATGCTGGTGTTGTTGATGATGATGATGATGATGATGACGACGACGACGACGACGATGATGATGATGATGATGATGATGATGATGATGATGATGATGATGAGGATGATGAGGATGATGAGGATGATGATGAGGACGATGAGGATGATGAGGACGATGAAGATGATGTGGAGGAGGATGAGGAGGAGGAGAAGGAGGAGAAGGAGGAGTGGGAGGAGGGGGAAGAGGAGGAGGAGGAGGAGGAGGAGGAGGAGGAGGGAGGAGGGGGAAGAGGAGGGGGATGAGGCGAAGAGGAGGAGGGGATAAGGGGAAGGTCGAATTCGCGGGCCTCGGGGTGTCGAGGGTCTGGCGCCCGCCCAGCCCCTTCCTCAGAGGAAGTGCACGAGCTGGCCGACGGGCCTCACGAGCTCGAGCTTGTCCTCGAACTTCCTGTCGCCAAGGCTACGAGCTTCTTGAAACTCATCGCCTCGGTCTGCGTGCTGGGGCCAGACCGCCCCCGTTCGCCCCTTCGAACTTGGTGTCCAGCTCCGCGTCCAGCTCCACTTTGAGCTGCAGGTCCTCCTCCACCGCGTACAGCTTGGGCATCAACCGCTTGGGGTCTCAGGTGCCCAGCGTCCACCACGTCGTTGGTTCTGACCCTAGGCGAACCGTTGGGAGAAAGCCTGAGGCTGGTCGGCCCTCGCTTCACGCCAATTGGACCTCCCTCTCCGCCACTTCCCAGCTGCCGCGGTGGGGGGAGTGGCGGCTGAATCTCCTGCATCCCCCCGCGCCCTCCTGCCCACTCGGCTGGAGGCGCGCTTTGTCGAGGTAGGTGTTCTCGTTGGAGCCCCCTGCCAGAGGGAGCGGATCCCGTAGCGTGGGAAGGCGTGCCCTTTGGGGAAGGGGCATCATTAAGGGCAGCATCCGCCAGCCCACCCTGCTTTGCCGGCATCACACCTTGGCAGAGCAGCTCCCCGACGACGGTGTCGTTCTCAAGGTCGATGATCTGGTGATCGAACCTCTCCGTGGCCACGGCATCGACGTCGGGCTTGGCTATGCCGTGGGGGAGGCTCTCTGCAATGTCGTCGGGGTGGCCCGTGTCGTCGCCATGCGGCTCCGTGGACATGTGAAGCAGGCCGCCACGCATCGCGTTGCTTAGCATGGTGTTCTTCTCCTCTTTGGCTTCAGTGAGCCGTATCTCCTTATCACGAACTCGTTGATGAAGTGCTGCCATCCTTTCCTCGTAGACGCTAGATCCCTATCTACGAATTGCTGCTCTTGATGGTGTCGACCTTGGTGTACATCATGCTAGCCACTGCGCCCATTCGAAGCTTGCCTATGGGGGTGGTAGCGTCGATGAAATGCCCGAGCTTATTGTGGGGGCCGATGCCTTTTTTCAGGTTGCTCAGAACCTCCAGTCCCTTCGTGGTGGCTGCTGCGCATGGTAGTCGTAACTTCAACCGTCGGCGTTGCTGCGCCCAGGCTCCGCATCTAACGCGTATGAAGACTGACTTGGCGATTTCATTGGTGTCTAGGGTCCCCAGCTGGTTGACGGCGACCAGCCTGTGCCCTTGAGGGTTCTGCATGTACTCCTTCAGAAACCTTGGGGAGCCTCCACAACCTGTGAGTGGAAGCTGTGTTCCAGGGGCATGTAGTTGTAGGCATTTTCGCATTGCACACCTCCTTCACCCTCTTTTTTCCAGTGGTGCCGCGTTTCCTTCCTGGTGCTTGCCGCTCGACGGTGCGCAACTGGCCGCCGTGTCCACCTTGCCTGGTCGCCCTTGCCGGACATGGGGAGCACGTTTGCGGCGAGATGCGCAATCTTGCCGATCCTGGCGACCGCCTCGTCCATCTCCGCCGCGAATTGAGTGCCCCTCGGCCGCCGCGTGCATGGTGGTGGCGAGCTTTGCCCGCACGTCCGCCACGATGTTGGGGTCCGTCAGCCTGCGCTGGCTGGCAGACACAGCTTCGCATTCCGCCCCTGCTATGTGCGCCTTGACGTGATGGCACTGCTGGACATACTTGAAGCCATCCGTCGACTGCGCGAAGTGAGCGACGCATGCGTCGGGGGTCTTGCTCTTGATCTGGTGTTCCTTGGCCTGGTTGCCAAGCTTGATGACTCCAGTGAAGGGCGGTCGGCGATCTGCGAGACAAAAGCTGCGCCCAAGTGCTCGCCCATGGCCGATGATTGTGGCGGCGAAGCGGGGACAGGAGCATGCTTTGAGCATGGGGGCGGATTGGTGGTTGGGCCGGAACCCATCGATGGCAACTTCCATACATTCGTCCTCAGTTGCGAGGGCATCTTGGGCCATCTGCTGGGGGGAGGTTCCTTGACGATACCGCGCGCATCGTTGATCTCATATCTGATGCCGAGGTTCAGGGGCGGGATTGCTGATGTGGGATAGGCGAAGGCCCCTTGCATGAATCCTGGCTCATCCCCCCAATGCCGAGTCATGTCGAGGAGCGCCTCTGGAACCTCAGCTTCTGCTCGTGCCTGCCGGGCCTCAGGTCGCGCGCAGTTGGCGAGACGATGGAGAAGGGTGTCTTCAGCTCCACATCGGCATTTCCCATCAGATCGGCACCCTGCAAGCTGAGCCCGCCGTTGGGCCCAGGCTCCACCACGCGCCACTTTCATCAAGCAGGACTCCTGGTGGGCCGTGTATCGTTGGCTTTTGGCCGAGATCATGGGCGCTGAGATGTCGAAGGTCATTCTCGTCTCGCCACCTCACCCCATCTTGATAGCCAGCGCCTTCTCATGCTGACACTGACCCCCATTGCTGCAGCATGGTGAGTAAGATGCCTGGCTTTCGCTGGTCCACTTGCACTTCACTCCCTCGGTGGTTGATCCATCGTAGCCCCGTCTTCGGAGTCCGTCCTGCTCGCTGGATGGAGATCGCTGCACGTTGCAGCGGATCTCTGGCATTGCTCCAGCTGCTGCATAGCCCTGGGATCTCTACTGCCCGCCTCCACAATGTAGAGAGAAGCGTGAGTGGATCAGGAGCCTGCTGTGGTTGCGATACAGCTGTCCAGACCATTCGAGACTATTGTAATGCTGGAGCCATCGCTATCGCGATCGTGGGGTCTCGAATCAGTGCCATCTTCGCAGTTGTGGAGACCGCGCCATGGCACGGTTTGAGGATACTCCCACAGTCACGCCGTAGTTTGTGTAATTCTGCATCTGAAAGGCCATTGGGTTCCACGCCATACGTAGCTGCTGGTCGGGCTCCAGTGCGGTGTATCTCACTGGTTTTGTGAGCCTGTTGCCCAAGGAGTCGTCGTCTGTAGTGCCCAAGCTTCTTAAGACGTAGTCGGTAGACTCGCCGTCCGTCTTGGCGCTTCCTCCTCGCGTGCTTGGCCAGCCGACGTCGTCCACCTGCGTAGTCCGTGCCCAGGTAGGTGGCGCTCCTCTGGCTCATGTTGCGCTCTAGACCGAGAAGCTTGACGATTTCCTTGCTGATTCTGACCGAGCTGGCAACGACCGTCAGCTTCTCGTTGAGTCGAGCTCCCAGGCGCTTGGCGGTGGCGAAATAGTCTTTCCCAGCCTGCACTGCCTGTGGGTCCGCGACGTCCTTGGCATCGCGGCTGACGCCCAGCGAGGCGTCGCCAATGTAGGGCGAGAACCTCACCAGTGGGTGGAGATTGACGTATTGATCGTATTGCTCCAGACGCCGTGGTGTTGGCGGAGGCGTATGATCCGAGGCCCTTTCCATTGGTTGTATATGACCTTCGTCATCGCCATTGGCATGCCCAGTCGGATCCACTTATCCCTCGTTTCATCAAGGGAGATGGTCTCACAGTACTTGCTGTAGTCTGCGATGGCCGTGGCTGTGCGGCTCCCAACGGATACGTTTTGCTCCGCATCCGCTGCCACGATCCAGTCACTATCAATCGCACTCTTGTTCCTTGCCGCACCCCAGACAGGCCGTGTCAGCTGCTGTTGCACGTGAGACAGTGCTGGCTTCCTTAGACGCTGCAATACTCGAAATGCCATTGAATACACTATAATGAGCCTGTGGCCACCTGCTGCCTTGGGTAACGTCGGCATCACCATCCACGTGGCCTGCGTAGGAAAGAGCCCCAGTGCTTCGCATGCCTGCATGATGTCGCACAAGGCTTCCAGCGCGTCGTCACTCAGGTGCTGCAGGTGAGCGGGGTGGAAGCCGTCGAGGCTGCCAGAGGTCTTCGCGCTGAAAGAGTTGGAGGCCCTCTTGCTGTCCTCAGGTGTCGGCCGAAAAAGGGTTCATCGGTCAGGGATCCATGCCTCTGGGGCTGCCTTAATAGCTTTCCAAAGTATTGCATGTTTGTCCTCAATGTCATTCAACATGTAATGCGGGTGTCCTGTGATGCCGTGCTCGCAATCATTGACTAACGCGTGCGCTTGCGCGTCTCTGACTCGGTTAAGTCGATGAAACTTGCCTGCGCCACCAGCGCAAGCACCATCACACCATTCCTGCCATCGCTTGTTGGAGTCCTTATTGGCGAGCTGCATGGCGTAGTTGATGTCTTATCAAAGTCCTCAAATAGGTGGATGATACCACCACGTGTGCACGCCCTCTGGACTAAACGCCTTGCTAGTTGCACCGAGGAGTCCAATCTCGCGTTGAGATTCTGCCCGATGTACTCTCTAGTGGGGAAACCTTGCACCTCGTCGTCGTAAGCGAGT